AATGCACCTTAAAGATCACCCAGTTTCAACCCCTGTGCCACAAGCAGGGACACTTTGCACTTGAGTCACAGAGACTTGGCACTGCAGTGCACAGCACTGCACCAGCTGAACCTTCAGCTGGCTCTGCATAAATTTCTCCACCATTTAAGCTGCAACTCACTCAGCTCTTCCCTTCCTCCCTCACCTGTGCTACCCCTGCTATGCTATGGGATTGTTCAGTTCCTGTATGAAATGGAGAAGTGCTCAGGCCAAGGGAAGACACCTCAAATGCAAGGAAGATGACAAGTTTCCCTCCCTCTCAAATGCAATCATATCCACAGCTAAAGGAAAATTTCCACTTAGCTTCCAAATTATCTGGATGCTGCCTGCACAGAAAGGCCTTTTCCACTTGCTGCTGGCTCTGTGGTGCTCAGCACCAACCTTTGGACAGATGCTGATCTGTGCCTGTAAGAGGCAGGGGAGGGGATGAAGTATTTTTGGAAACCCTGGCTGGCAGAAGAGGAGCAAGGAGAGCAGGTTAAAGAGCCTGCCATGCTGGCTGAGAGCAGGCAGGGATGTGTCCTCACACACCAGGCCATGCAGTTTTTCATTGCCTGAGGCAATGCTCCTCGCAGCACACTGATTAATTTTGTTATTTTAAGGCTTCTCATTCTGAAATATCTCTCCCTAACTGCAGCTATCATGTTTGGAATCGATGTGAGAAGTGCCCAGCTTTGATAAATGGTAACAACAAAACCTTGGCCAGGATACAAACATGGTAACTTTCAGAGCCCCTTTGCTCCTGCAAAACTGCCCCAACCAGAGCCACCTGCAGCAGGCAACAACAGAACCTGGGGGCTCCCAGAGGGGCTCAAAACCTCCAGCTGGCTGCTGAGGGGGTGGGAGACAAACACCAACACAGAATCACAGAATTATCTAGATTGGAAAAGCCCTCCAAGGTCATCGAGTCCAGCCTATGACCCTATGATCCTTTGCCAGACCATGGCACTGGGTGCCGCGTCCAGCCTTCCTTTGAACACCTCCAGCGACGGCAAATCCACCACCTCCCTGGGCACTCCATACCAATACCTAATCGAGGAAATTCTTCCTAACGTCCAACCTAAACCTTCCTTAGCACAGCCTGAGACTTTGTCAGCTCTGTGCCGTGCTGCGGGGCACTCGGGGAGACACAGGCAGAGCCCGCAGTCCCGCGGGCTGGAGAAGGCAGAAACCATCGCACTCCCCCTTCCGAGCCACCGTCCCGGTGAGCCCGAGGGTGCTCCAAGGCTCTGCCCCGGCCTCGCCTGAGCGTTTCCTGAGCCGAGCCCGGGCCGAAGCAGGCCTAGACCTGGGGCCTTCTCCTCCTCCCCGCCGCTCACTCCTTACCAGCTCCCCCTCCGCGGCCGCTTCGCCGGCCCCCCGGGCCATGGTGGGAGAGAGGTGGGAAGGCTTCAGGGGGCGGCGGGGCCGCGGGGCCCCCCTCGGGCCGTGGCTGCCGGCTCGGGGCTGGGGGCAGCCATCGCCCCCCGGCGGCACTTCCGGGTCGCGGTAACCATGGCAACCCTCAGCGGCCCGGGGTGGTGACGCATGCGCAGAGCGGGGGCACGCCTGCAGGCAGTGTCGGGGGAGGACTCGGCCTGGCCGCGGAGCGCGGGTGACACCAAGCGGCCCCGCAGGGAGCGAAACCCCGGCGGGCGGCGGAGCGGCCTCTGCGAGGGCTCCGCTCCACTTGCGGGCCGGGAGCTTCTGCCCGAGAGCGCCGGGATAACTCCGGGCAAGGCGCAACTCCATCCCGCGCACCGCTGCTACCGTCCCGCAGCCACCGCCTGCCCCTGGAGCGCGCCCGGGTCACGCCCCCTGACCGGCCACTGGCCACGCCCCCGCTCCACTGGCCACGCCCCCTTTGCGACACTCGCGGTGCGGCCGGGCCGGGCCGGGCCGGTGCCGGTGGTCCCGGCCATGTGCGACCCCCAGTCCCGCTTCGTGGCCCGGGCCCGCCGCCGCTTCGCCATGACCCGCGAGTGCGCCGTGCTGCTGCCCGGAGTCTGCGCCGCCCTGGCCGACCCGCGGCAGCCCGGCCTCGACGACACCTGCCTGGAGAAACTGCTGGACTGGTTCCGCAGCCTGACGTGGTTCGGTGAGCGCCGGGAGCTGGCAGGGGCTGGTCCGAGGGGAGCGGAGATCCCACACGGGATCGCAGGGTAGTTCGGGTTGGGAGGGACCTCTGGAGATCATCCAGTGCAGCCCCGTGGCAAGGCAGGGTCACCTGGAGCAGGTGACACGGGAACAGGGTCCGGGTGGGATTGGAACGTCTGCACCACGACCTGAGGGGCTGCGGCACCTGGAAATGCTGTGTGTGCACCCGAATTCATCAGCTCTAGCAGCCGGCAGGGCTTACCCCAGCTCAGAGAAGCACTTTAATGAGACAGCACAGCCCTGGCAGTGAGCTGCTGTTTTCTGGCCTCTCCTGGGCAGACCCCACGCTGGAGCTGCTGCAGGACAACCCGTGTCTGGCAGAGCTCCTCGCCTCCGTGCTGGCCCTGCCGGACCCCAGCCCCGCCGTCCTGTCCTTCACCCTGCAGCTGGCTGGGATCCTCGCCTCTTCCGAAAGCCGCTTCCAGCACCTGCAGGTGAGTCGGCCACCCGGGTACCTGCTGCTGTGTGTCTGTCTGCTCCTTCCGTATGGACGGTCCCTGAAAACGTGAATGTTCTGCGTATTAAATCTATGGCTTACGTGGAACAACTCAGCAAAAGTGATTCAACAGCAAAGACCTACCGTCACCAGTCCTCTTCAGTTCTCATGTACAGCTGCTTCTCACTTCTGCCTCACCACAGCAGGACTGAATGCTGATGGGTAGTGCTTCCATTTTTACTTCAAAAGAGTGTATGGGGTAACCCAACTCTGGGTTGGACTCGATGATCCTGAGGGTCTCTTCCAGCCTAGCAATTCTGTGAACACTGCTTCACAGCAGTCACTGTACAGTACTGTATCCCAGGACAGATCCTGCAGATTGAAACTGCACTAACAGATGTGGTTTTGCTTCTGTAGTAGGTTGACAGGAAATTTTTGATTCCCTACAAAAACAAGGGAGCTTTTTAAAGCCGTGCTTTCTGCACCAGGATACATTTTAGTACAAAACCCAAAAGGCTTCATTCAGGGAAGAGATGTGTACAGGTGTATAAAGCAGTCTGATGGAACTGATACACATTATCCTTCAGCACCTGCAGACAAAGCAGATTTGGTTTTGAACACTCTAGTTGTCCATATGTTGCATTTAAGGTGAGATTCTGAAAACTGCCCTTTTTTTGATACTTGTAGCAAGAGGACGTTTCACTACAGTACTGATACTCTTGACGGGGGCCGAGCAGCCCCTTTGCTCACTGTTCACTCTGTTTTCTGCCCTGCCTCAGGAGGAGAAGCTGCTGGGGAGGCTCTTTGGCCCGGAGGGGCCGCGGGGCAGCGCGGCGTGGGAGGACGCGTCGGTGCGCAGCGCCTGGCTGAAGGGAGTGCACAGCATGCTGCACCACCTGCCCGCCCTGCACTGCCTCTGCTCCACGGGTGAGTGCTGCTGGGGCTGCCAGCTCCCGCCTCTGCTCTGTCCCTGCCATCCCAGCCTCTTGCCCAGGTGTCAAATGAGCATTTGTTGTTTATTTAAGGTTAAAGGAAGCCATTTGTCAAAAAAACAGACGAAGTCGTTGAAAGATGTTGGTTAAGTTAGCTAAGCATTAAGTTAACTTTTGTTAAGTAAGTTATGCATTTGGTTTTTTCCTCCAAACACTGAAGGTGCTGCTTTTTTCAGAGGGGAAAGAATCTTATAAAATTGCCCTTATAAAATTAAGAGCTATCTGTATTCTTATTTGTAACTCCTACTAAAGGGTACATTTCAGCATGATTTTAGTGCAGAAAAACTGATCAGAGGCTCATTTTTCTCTTTGTGCTTGCACACATTTGCAATCCTCTTGTTGTTATGGAGGTATGTAAATTATGCTGTTAACACCAACTTCAGATCCCATGTACAGAGGGGTCTAAAAGACTGGATTGGTATTAAAGTGCAGCACATGCTGCACTTTTTCCATGTGATGGAAAAGTGGTGCTGATACTGCTGTTCATGTTTTTCCTGCTGGTTATGTCCAGAGATGGTACAGGCTCTGTCCATAAATACACATTGAGTGTGCTGTCAACTCTCCTAATGTCACTGATGTTATATTGGAGTCTGATCCTGAGTTATTAAACCCCTGAGGATCTGAAAACAATTTTATTTTCTTCTATTTGCTTCTTTTTAAGGACTGGCTGACTTTGAGTAGAGACTACAAAATAAAGTACAAGAAAACCCTATCACCACCATTTAAAGATGTGTGGTACCTGAATTAGAGTCATAACTTGCTTGTTGCTCCAGTGACTTGTTTTGTTTTCCCACAGGAGGCATGGATGTGATCTTCACTCTGCAAGGAGATCCCAGCCTGTTTGTGGCTTCAGCTGCCAGCCAGCTCCTGGTGCACATGCTCACCTTCTCCCTAGAGTCTGAAACATCCAAAGCTCTCAGTACCAAGGACTGTGACTGGCCAGCCTGTGCCCAGATGATTGTAAAGCACATAAAAGAGTCCCTTCAGTCCAGCTCTGCCTCTCACATCGAGCAGTCACTGAAGCTGCTGAGCAGTTTGTTTGGCAGTTGTTTTGGCAGTTGTTATGCTGCATGGACTGAAGTCCTTTGGTTAGACATAGCAAAGCAAATAGAATCCTTTCTGCTGGAGGAGACTGTTCAAGCACAGCCCCTGCTGGCAAATCTTTTGCTTAATGTGGCACGGTAAAGATCTTGTGGCACCTTGGAGCCCGTGCTGAGATAGATCTGTCTGCCACCCTGGGATAGGTTACACTTACACTTCTCTCTTCTCAGATCCCCTGCATTTTGTGGCACTGAAGGCAGCTTTTGGGCATTAGTAACTTCTGCTCTGGAACACCTAACCCCAGTACAAGCAGGTCCTCTGGCAGTGGGACTTTTGAAGCTCTGCAAATGGTAGGACTTAATGCAATGAAATTTCTGCACTGTGCAGGTGTTTCTGCTCCATATTTCCCCTTTAGGTAGTGAAAAAGCAGCAAGAAATCATCAGATGAATACAGTACATACAGATACTGATTTCCAGGCTAAATAACACTCTTGTTCTAAGACAGAAGGACACTTTTGTTAACAAGATATTCCTCTCTCCCAGCCTCCTTACACAGGATCCCACTCTCTATTTGCATGGCTTGATAAAGCTGCTTCTGAATTCCAGAGCCATTTCTCCTCTGCTTTCAGTTAGCAAGGGAACCTTGGAAGAAGGCTCAAATTGTGATACAGCTTTTATTGCTCTGTCATTGCTGACTTGTTTAAAAGCCTGCATGAAAATCATTTATCCTGCTCAGCATTTGGGGGCAAGTATTTGGGAAGGAATTGAAGTTTACTTGTGTTGGTAACTGCTGTTTCCTCCTTGAAGCCCACAAGATGTCAGGATTCAGGCACTGACTGTTCTGCTTCAGCCAATGGACTGTATTTTGAGAGCGGCCTCCCAGCCTCTGGAATGTGCAGGTACAGTTGTGATAGAAAAGTCAGAGGCCAGTCTGCTTGCCAGTATTTTAAGTGCCTGGTGCAGACAAAGCTGGAGGAAAAAGTAGAAGTCAAGGACAGTAGCAGTGTTTGTGGTAAATCCTACTGCCAGTTGCATTTGAAGGCATGTTCATACTACATTAGCTGAAAATCTTGGTTAGTTTTAAAAATCACAGTCTTTTCTTAAAAATCACGGCCTTTTCTATTCATTGATGACCTGAGCTCTTCCCTTCTTTGGTCCTCTAGGTTTGCTGGATGAGTCTGTCAGTGATCCTGCCACTGTTGAAAGTCTTCTGTCTTCCAAGACATCTTGTGCTGGTCTCCTGTGTCAGACCCTCACTCACCTGGAGAAGCTGCTCTCTCTGGTAACATTCAGAGAGGGGGGAAAAAAGAGGCTGAGGATCAAACTGGTCCTTGAAAGACAGTGTTCAGATGGTTGCAAACTTTTTCAGTAGAGCATAACAGAACGTGGAAAGAAGTTGGCTGTGAGGGTTTCCATAGTTGAAGGAAATTTAGCACAGTAGGCTCTAAACAGGAAAACAGAGGGATACTGAGACTCTTTAAGAGAGACTGCACTTAAATTTTAAATTTTTCTTGATGAGCTTTGTTACCATACCTTACTTGTATTACAATTACTAATCCTGAGAAGAAACACAAATTGAACTGCTTTCAAGCAGTCAGAAGAATCTCCTTCCATTTGTGCAGCAGTTCTTGGAAGTGAGGAAGATCATTTATTTGTAGTTACTGATATTGTGGTACCTTAAGAACTCACTAGAAGTTGCAATTTTTTGCTGTCTTCTGACATAAAACTGCTCTCTACTTGAGACTGTTGCTGGAAACTCTTTTCTTTTCTTTCTCACTCATTAGAAACATTTGAGAGTGGATTTACCCTGTGTGTCTTTGCTGCACTCTCTCATGACAATATTACAATTCTGCAATGGCTTCCTGAGCCCAGCTTCTCCTCTGGGAAGCACAATCAGCCGGAATTTGATCAATTGCTTCAGAGTGCAAAAGTCAGCTCTTGATGTCCTTGCAGCACTCTCAGAGAAAAAAGGTGACTTAATCTTTGCTTCCTTATCCAAAGCAATTTTACAATTCTGTGTCTTTGTGTATTTCAGCAGGGATTTGGCTGCTCCATCTCTCAGTATTGGTCCTTTGGGTTTGTTTTTTGTTTCAGACTGTGACACTCTCATAGGAAATCTTTTTGATGTCCTCCTGGCATATCTGCAGAGTCCAAATACCAGCCCTACTGTGAGTATAGAACTAGGAGAGATCCTGGTCTGTTAGCTTGCCCCAGTGGGTTGTAATTCTCATAAAGGGTCTGACTGCAGTTGTTTCTCACCACACTTTGTATTAGAATGTGTAGGACACTTGTCTTGTCCTGGATGGCTTGCAGAAAATAGCTAAAATTGCAGTGAGCAAGTAACTGACCAGTACATTGAGAGTTCTTGAGAAGACAGGAGCTATCATGTCTAAGAGTAGCACTGACATACTCACCTTGAGATGGTCATGAAGTATTGAATTCTTTTTATTAAGGGGGTGTTTTGCTTTGTTTGTTTGAATGACTCTGATGGCAGCTGCAAATCCAAAGCTGGAGGCACTAGAACTTTGTAATCTAAGCTGAACACAGGGATTTTCTAGGTGTTTGTTAGAAATGTTATTTAAACACCATTTATTTGTGGTTGGCTTCTTAATAAGGAGTCATATGCACTTATTTACTCTGAGAGTTTCTCTGTAAGTTTGAGGCTAAAATGAATTTTACCTTTCAAGGCATAAAGGCAACACTGCCTCCTCCTGTAGTAAAGTCAATCTGCTTTACATTGCTTCAGGTTCTGAAGAAAACCTTTCAGGCTACATCCAAGTGGTTGGTGCACTTGCAGGAACTGTCCTCCTCCACCAGTCAGTGGCAACAAACTGAGAAGATTTTGGAAGGTAATGACAAACAGCAGCTAGTGGAACACGTGAACTCTGCTCCTGCCTGCCTTTCCTGCTCAAAGCACTGGATTCACTTGTTCACAATTATGTTGAATTTAAGTTTAGCTGCCCAAATAGTGCTTTGCAGAACTCTGGAAGAGGAACCCAGCAGCAGCAAAAAGGATTGTATGAGATGAAATGATGTAGAGGTGGTACAGTGAGTGTTTCAGTAAGGTTTGTTGCTTTTCATGTCCATTCAGGTTTGTCACTTGCCTTTTACAGATGTGTTGGTGGTGCTGCAGAAACGTTTGTGCAGTCCTTGCTGGGAAGTAAGAGATTCTTCCCTGGAGTTCCTCACTTCCATGGTTAAATGCTTGAGAGGTAGGTGCAAAGATTTACCAGTTCAGGTTTCAGGGGTATTTCTTTTAATGCTGTGAAAGTCAGTCAGGCTGGTGAAGCATCTTCTGACCTGTAACTGGAGGGCTGAGAAAAGAAAGAAGTGTCAAGATTTTTACTCTTAGATCATGATCAGAATCTGACAAAAATATTAATAAACTTACCCTGCTTTTTCTGTTGAACTCAGATTGCTGTACCTGCCTTAATGGCAGTTTTGGTGAGTCAGACTGAGGGGTGTTGGGACATGTCTGTCAAGGCAGGTGGCAGTGCTTAATGGCAGATAATACTTTCTAGTTTTCAGTTTGCTCTGCACTGGAGCCTGGTTTCTTTTAACAGGCTGGGGGCTGACCTTTAGGAGGCTAAAAGCCTAGACCTGCTTTATATGCTTGGGATTAATTACTGATTTTCTACTTTACTGATAGCTCAGGCCTTGCAGCAGATAGCACTGAGGCAATGCTGATTTTCCTTCAGTAGCTCTGCAATGTTGGAAGGGAGGGGAATGTTATCAACTGCTGTTGTCCCCAGGTCACAAAGGAAGTATCCAACATGCTCAGCTGCATTAGCACTTCACCCTGCAGCCCCTCTCAGTGCTGCAGTTACTTTTGTTTTCTCTGCCATATGCCTGACAGCAGGAAAGGAAGACTATTTTTTCTTCCTTTAAGCATAAATTTTATGAGGCTGGAACCATGTCCTCACTTGCCTGCAGAAAGTTTTTTCTTGCTGCTAAAACAACTCTTAAGTGCAATTTTGCAAGTTCCAGTGTCTGTCAGGGCTTGACTAAAAGCTGCTGGGAGAGGGGGAGCCTGACACAGAACATCTGCCTGGTCCCTGCAGCAGCTCCTCTCCCTGGCAGCTGTCCCTGCAGGCAGCAGCCATCCTTGTACGAGGCAAAGGGCTGTTTGCCTTGGAAACAGCTTCATGCTCAGAGGGAATAAAGTCCCACTTCTTTGGATTGCTGTCTTGTTTACAGACCAGAAGGAGTTCAGGCAGTGTCTCCTGTCCTCAGAGGTGCTGAGGCTCACAGAAAACCTGCTGGAGGACCCGGAGAGCTACGTGCGAGCGAGCGCCGTGACTGCTGTGGGACACCTGGCCCCCTTTACTTGCTTTGCTCCAGAGTCACCTGTCATTGGCAATCAATATGACAAAGAGGTAGGATAACCTTTTCTGCATGAGCAATTGCCATCAGTTTACTGCTGTACTGCTTATAACTTTCTTCACAAGTTATCTGCTCATGCAGGCAGGTTGCACAACCAGTAATGAGATTTTTCACCTCTGCTGTTTTTGTTCCTTTGCATGTTCCTCCACTCACTGAGACTTTCTCTTTTGTCTTTTTGCATCTAGAGCATTGTAGCAAAGCTTCAGGAAATCTTGTCAACAGACTCAGAGGGCTTTCCCAGGAGGGCTGTGATCAGCATCTTCACCAAGTGGCTGAGAGAAGGCTGCACAGGTCAGCTGGAAGATACAGAGCAGTTTGTCTCTAGAGTCATCCAGACTGTGGAGCATGACTTAGACTGGGAAGTCAGACTTGGTGGTTTGGAGCTGGTTGAAGTTTTCTGTAGTCAGACCATTTGCCAGCTTTCCCAGTGTCCCTATGCTCCTGTCTCCTCTGCAGTGACAAGTTCCACCCCTCAGAACGAGCTGCTGCAGGTGTTTTGTCGAGCAAAGCTGTTTGGGTTTTTGTTTAGATCTTTGTGTGACTGTGACAAACCCGTGGGGCAGAGAGCCTGTGATGTTCTGGTTGGCTTGAGAGGTCATTTCTACCCCATGAGTACTTTGGAGAATCCACAGCAGATTGAAGATTCACCTGCAGGATGTGGCATTGCCTGGTTACAGAGGACACTAAGACAGGGTTCTCTGGCTCAGAACTTCCCTGTGGAGGGTGATGTTGGGGTGGATTTCCAAGATCCAGAGAGCATGATGTTAGCTTTGGGTGCAATAGACTTACTGGAGCTGCATGATGAGCTAAATAAAAGTAGTGACCATGTGGAGGAAAGCCCTCAGTCCCTCTTACAGGACATCCTTGCTGCTGTGGGGACCATAGAGGATAATGAAGTTGACTGTTACTGAACCCAGCTTTTGCTCTGAGGGAGCAGCACTCAAGAAGTTTTCTTCTGGAAGAGAAGAATGGTTTTATCTGTTAAATGGGTTAGAAGAAAATCTTTGCTTTAATACTGATGATTTTTTTTTTTTGTTAAAAAGTGTAGTTTCCAATAAACTGTTGTTTCTTTTTCCAAGTAAAAACATTAAGAATGGTATTTGTTCTTTTTTTTTTTAAAGTTGTTGCCTTTTAAGAAAGCACCAGACCATGCCTACATAAGGAAGCATTTAAAAAAATGAGTGACTGAACACAGCAGAGTGACTGAAAACAAGCTGTTGCAGGCTCCTTTTAGAGCCAGAGTAGCTACAACTGATGGGGACTGGTTTTAAGGGACACTTGTTTTGACCTTTCTGTATTTATTTTATAAACAGAGCTCTCAGATTCCCTTGTGCATTTTGAGGTCTAGAGCAGAATGTGGCATTTAAGGAGTCAAAAGCTGATCATCCTTGGCATTACAAATTTTCTCCTGTAGATCACAGACTTGTTTGATCTCAGCAGTGACACCAACATGCTGACTTTGGTTTTAATTGAAGCCAGAAGCAAGTCCATTTTGCTGATTCTTTTTTCAAGTGCTCCTATTTTCCATTGCTAAAGTACTCAGTTTCTAACTTTTTGAGAGAAACTTACACTTAAAGATTTTTCAAGATAAATTTGATCTGTGATTACCTTTAGTAACAATTAGAAACCAGCAGACATAGTGTGAACGGCAACATGATTTTCTGAGAAAAAATTGCCAGGTTTTAAAAACCTGTGGAAGAGTGCAGTTTGCAGCTTGCTCCAGTATCTTGCCATGTGCTAAGAAGCTCTCTGCAACCTAGAAAAAACCCCAAAGCAAACAATACCTTTAGCAGCAGATCAAACCATGGTGGGTTCTTTCCCAGCACTGAGGTGTTACTGAGCATCCTTTATCCTCCTGCAGCTGTGGAGAGGCAGAACATGACACTGATTTTGGGGCAGTGGAGGCTCTAAAACAGTGAAAGGACTGTACAAATCTCCCTGCAGCAGTACAGTGGACTGAGGTGTGGTTTGGATCTCTTGCTGCTGAGGCTCAGGTTTGCTCTGTGCCTTTTGAGGAAAGCAGCACACTTGCCTATTGCTCTGTGCACAGCTTTATGTGTGACAGAGCCCTTGGGTTTTGTACCAGCAGCTGTTTTTAGGAGAGAATAGCTCTGCTTCTGACACACAATTCCACCTGAGCTGGGTCTACACCTGGCAAAGGACAGAAAATACTAAAATTCAGGCCTTTTCCTGTCACTGCATTCATCTCAGAAATGGAAAGGGTTAGTGAGAGAGAAGGGATGTGCTTTTAAAGAGGTGTGGAGTGTTTGTGGAGTTCCAGCAGTCCTGTCCAGTGGAGGCACTGCAGTTCCAAAAGCAGCATTCTGTGTTGACAGTAGGTCAGCTGTGCTCCAGGAGAGGAGAGAGCAGGTTGCTGGGTGAGCACCTCCCTCCTGTTCAGCACTGCAATCCTTGTCATTTCAGGACTCTGCTTGAGGAGTTGAGGAGACTCCAAGGAGTTACTGAGATATCAGCAAATTGAAAAAGTGAGTTGTTACAGAAGGAGAACTCACTGCTTATTATCAAGGTCTCTCATCTCCCAGACCTATTAATTTTTCATGGAATTCCTTTTTCTTTTTAATAAGCTGGGGTGAGGGTGACACTATATTTGTAGCATTTGCCTAATTGCAGTCCAAAATTGTGTTTATACAATTGTACACTAAAAACCAAATCTACAACAAGCTGGGGGGGGGGGGTCTCCTTACCTTTAGAAGGAGTATTAGGGACTTACTTCCTCAAAAACAGGTCTCCACCTCCAGCAGCTCTGAGACAGAGCTGACTGTGTATTTCTGTCCTGTCTGAGCCCCCTGCTTTGCCTTTTGTTTTCTCTGCTGCTCCAGTGGCAGTGGAGTGCCACTGACACCGAGGTGCTGGCTCTGCCATGCTGCCCCTGAGCTGGGAGAAACAGGAATGGTCAGGGACATCTGGGCAGAGTGTGGAACAAATGCCCAGGGCTAGAGAGGTTAAGGGAGATGAAAGCAAGCTAAAAACTCCACAATTCTTTCTACAGAAAACAATGGGGTGGCATTTTTGAGCTGGAAATTCAGCTATCAAGTTTATGAACACACACCAACAGCTACTGATGTGGCTCATCCCTCATGCTGGGACATCCTCTCTAGGATGTCCATCTTCACCACTTGAGGACTCATACAAGCCCTACCCCACTTGCTTACACCCACAACTTTATTTTAAACCCACTTCTTACCTACCCAAGCTTATTTTGCAGCTCCACAAGATCCTTATCCCAGCCACAGAGCTTCCTCCTGGGTTAAGAATTACACTCTGTGCTGAATCTTGCCAAGGAGCTGTGGTCATGCTGCACTGGGGAAAAGGCTTGGCTCCCATGGAGACAGTCCTGAGCAGCCCTGGCTGCCCCCAGGTGCATCCTGAGCATTCACTTCAGCAAGTGCCATTGGTATTTAACCCCTTCACAGCCCAGCAACAGTTGTCCCTCCAGAAACTACCAGCAGCTCACTCTGTCACATAGCATAGAGAAGGAGGAGGCTGCCTGGCCTGCTCTTATGGACATTTTGGGATGGATTTCTCTGGAAACTCCAGCGTTCATCCCATCAGAGCTGTAGCTGTGTTTGGCTCTTGCAGGAGGCAAGCACCACTGAGAGTTCTTCCAACACCCACAGAGCTGATTGTGCCAGAGGCTGTGGCCACACATGGGTGTCAATGCAAGGGGACACGTGTAGAGGATTTTGTGGACAGTTGGCTAGCTGACAAAAGTCACACTGAAGTAATACCGTTAGCTAAGCAAGAGGGAGACAAAGTTAGGAGTCAGAAATCAGTGTCCATATGTGGCAAGGGCACTGTGCCCTTGCCACAACATGAATTTGGGGGAGAGGATCATTAGCCAGAAACATGAAGAAAAGATAAGAAAAGCTACAACAGAATAGCCACAAGAACGTAGAAGTAGGCGTAGTTAGCTGATAAGTAACTAACCAATAATGAGCTCTCCTTTTGCAATATGCATTAGCCTCATTAACACCAATATAACTATGTGTGCCTATCAATAAACTCCCGAGATTTGCTGATCACTCCTATTGCGTGCCGCATTTCTCCTGTCAATTCTCGAGGCTCAGGACTGTCCTTTGTTTTTAAACAAAATACCTGGCAGGAGAAATGCAGGTGGTATTGACAAAAAACATCAATCACAGCTTAAGAAAATTGTATCTCTGGTGGCTGGTGCTGTGAAAGAAGAAAATTTCAAAGCTCATTTCAGCTCTTTATCTGCACAGGGCCAACGTTGTGTTGTCTGATCTGTACACAGGTAGGAGAGTCCTAGAGTTACTTTCAACACATTTCAACAAAGCTCTGAAGAGAGGATTTATCCTTTAACTGCTCAGACTCAGACACTAGAGAGAATAAGCGTCTTTGGCTCAGCCCTACACTAGCAATGGCTTAATGAAAGCTGCCAAGGAAATGGCTGTTAATTTTCTGGTTTAATACACTAGACATTTAAAATACAAAGAATATTCTTTGCCTAATTACACTAATTGCACAACTTAGTCAAAAATGGGCTGTAAATGTCTAGGGCTGTTGCTTCAGCTTATATATACGTGATCTGTGATTACAGATCAATTTGTGCACATCTATGCAATTCCTTCTCTCCTCCTCTGATAAAATCTACTCTACCTTTCAATACATATTCATTAAGGCTTCTAAAAACCAGCGTGCATTAGAGAGGAACTCATCAAAAAACTTCACTGCAGATCTCAGCAATTTACAATGGAAATATATACCAGCAGCAGCAGCTCTGTGGTCTGTGTATTTCCCCTCAGAGCAGTGGATTTTGTCTTCTGCTGAGAAATAAAGCAGCACTTCAGCAGGGCCAGACCTCGTCAGCAGCAGCAGCAGCTCTGTGGTCTGTGTCATTTCCCCTCAGAGCAGTGGGTTTTGTCTTCTGCTGAGAAATAAAGCAGCACTTCAGCAGGGCCAGACCTCGGGCTGTGTCAGCCCTGCTGCTCCAGGGGCAGGACAGCTCCTGCCTTGAACCTTGGAGCAGCACACACAGAAATGGGGTTTGAAGGAGCAGCGTGTTCATCTGGACAAGGCAGAGCAGAGCTGAGGATGTGCAACTGTGAGGAAACTCATCCTGGGGGCTTTCCTAAACCCCCCCGATGGAAGGGGGATGAGCAGCCCTCTCCAAGGGTCCCTGCAGAGCTATAGGCGCAATTGCACAACAACTTCAGTTAAAGCAAAATGAAATCAAAGAAAACAATGTTTCTATCTGTGGTACCAATACTCACTCTCTGCTCAGAGCACAGCAGCTGAAAGTGCTTATTTACATAATAATGAACATATAGCAGGGCTCCAAGGATACCCTTCACACCTCTGCCTCCAAAACAAGCCCATACAAACCAAGTTACTCCCCACTTGCCTGGTTGTTAACCTCCATGCCAGGCAAAAACCCAATGTCTGGCACAGAGGGCGCACTCACCTCTTTAAGAGACATTTCTTAGTTAGGTCAGATCAGATCAGATCAGATCAGGTGTTAAACCAAGACCTTAACCAGTTCCTGCGGAGTGTTAGAGCTTGAACTGTCATAGGTCTGGCTCTTTTCCCTCATTGTCAATGCAAGATAGGTGAGAATTACCCTCAAGAGACAGAGACCTTCAATCTTCAGCTCTCCCATCTCATTGTCTTTCACTCCTCGCATTTCCAGTCTCCACTGAGCCCACATTCCCTGGGCTCTGGGGCTGGGTCAGCAGAAGGGAGCAGGATCTGGTGCACACAGACATCCAGGCTTGCCCAGGCTGGTCCCTCCCTTCTGCACTCAGAGCCTTGGCCTCGAACCAGGCTGGGCTGTGCCCAGCACGGAGGAGCTGCAGAGCCAGGGCTGGCAGATGGTGAATGCAGGCTGCACATCTTGAAACATGACTTGGCCCAGCCAAGCCAGCTCCTAAACAAACCCTTATTAAGCTGCATTAGCCATCACACGTGAAATCTTCTGATTTAGGCTGGGGCACAGGTGAGTCCTAAAACCCATCACTCTTGATAACAAACACCCTCCATGGGACTGATCTCGTGATTGCAACTCTGATTACGTGCCAACAACAAAAAAGCTGCAGTTAAA